CATCACGCTGCATGTTTTGGAGGTACACAGATTGCTCTCCCCCCGTGAGCTATCTGAACCGAGTCTGCCAACAGATTCGGGTTTCATAATGCGTCCACCATCGACAGTCTCCTTGACAAGGAGGATGTCTCCCTAGAAGCCATACTCGACGAGGACGATCTCCTCCAGGAGTGCAAAGCGCAGAACACTCGTCTTATCGACTATTTCTCTCGCCTCAATGTCCTGCAGCGGCTCCTCGGCTACGTAACGGGGCAGATTGAGGGCGACGACAAGGGCAGCTTCAAGTGAGTGGTCGCTCACGACTGTGGCGAGCGTGCTGGCTCAGAGGACGGACTTCCTGAGGTACCCTTATGTCGCGACCGAGGTCTTGTGCAGCGGCATATGGTCTATTGTGGACACTTGCGTCAATCACCAAGAACAGCTGCTCATACCGTTCTGGGAAACCGTCTTGGACAAGTCTCCGGAGGAGATGCGGAGCCAGGTGATGATGGCAACTCATTTCGCGAAAGTAAACGTTGCGTTCTTGAGCAAGAAGCCCGCGGAGGTGAATCCATCCATCTATCATCCCCGTCCTTCTTGGCGTGAATTCTGAGCTCCGTGCTCAGATGTTGGCGTTCATTCAAGCACAACCGGACATCGTCGAACGGGTGTTGCGGCACATAGAGACACCGCCGTTTGCCGACCTCCTCGTCCGCATCATTCAGCTAGACGAGCACCCTGCCGGTGCTGGTGTCCTTGAAGTATGTACCTCATCCTGCGTTGCACGCGCTCTTGCGAACCGCTCTTACCAGAAGCCATCCAGTGGCTGTCGAAAGAGAACCTCATGTCGCGCCTCATTGACCTTCTCTCTCCCGCGCGTAGCAGCGACATGCACACAGTTGTCGCAGACCTCATCAAGGGGATTATCTCCATGGCTGCACCGTCTCCTGCTGCTGGGATTTCTGATGGCTTGAACCACCTTCCTGCGTCAAATGTGTTCGCACGCGAGCTCGCCCACCGCGACAATGTGTCGAAACTCATCAGCTACATCTTGAACGAGTTCGGTCCACATAGCGCGGATAAGGGCAAGTCCGCCGATGGTCAGGAGTCCGCGTCTTCCTCGGTGGTGCAGTCGATATGTATCATCATCGAGCTCATACGACAGAACAACTCCGACTACTTTGAGCCCTACCTCTTCCACACGCTGCGGAACCGCCTCATTCAGGTGCAGCAGACGTTGCCCCAAGATGGAGCTCGCGAGGCCCTGGAAACGGCTATGAAGGAGATGGTTAACCGCATGGGCGTCGTGCATCTGGGACCTGTGCTGGAGCTCATGTGCAACCATCTGGACAAACTGCAGTTATTCCTGAAGGAACCACGCTCATTGGTAGGTCCAGTATGTGCAACAGTTCTGACAGCCTCTGACCGCCGTTGTTAGAATGGACCTGTGTTGACCACATTAGGCGCAATTCCTCCTCTGACGTTCGAGAGGTATCGAATATGCGAGCTGTATGCTGAACTCCTGCATTGCTCCAACATGTCCCTTCTCAACCGCGACCCGCAATACGACCACCTGTACGGCGCAGATGGTCGCCTGCAAGGCGGGCTATCTGCGCTTGAGGAACTGGCCCAAGTCATCGCCATCGGCAATGGGAGCGGCGACAACGATGGAATGGACGACGACGAGGAAGACGACGTGGAGTCCGCACACGAGTTCCCAGTCTCGCATGCGCCCTCATCATCTCTCGTTGACTCAGACGAGGATATGAGTGGAGACGAGCCCGGCAGCTCTGACGACGAGGCGATGGAAGAAATTGCGATGTACGATTCTCCCAAGGCGAGCGCGAGCCCCCGTCTCACGGCGGACAAGGCTCCCGCCAGAGTCGCATCGCCTATCACGATCGCGCCCCCTGCTCCTTCTACTAGTCCTGGTGATGTCGCCTCGTTCCCGCAACGCCAGAACTCGTGGAACTCTAACTCGGATGCAGAAAGTGTTCGCTCAAGACCGCGTTCAAGAGATTCTCGCCGGAGTGTCCGACGGTCCACCAGGGATCTGCTCGCAGGGCGCCCTGTGCTCGGCGAACGACTCAAACAACGATTCTTGGAAGCCAATGTAGCGTCAACACTATTTGTGAGTTCCAATCGTTCCTGTTGAGAGTGTGTGATCAACTCAAGTCGTGTCGCAGGATCTGTTCTTTGAGTTCCCATGGAACAATTTCCTACATTGTGTCGTATATGACTTGATTCACCAAATTCTCACTGGTCGAGTCGATGGCGGATACAACAGAGAGCTGACGGTCTCCCTCTTCCGCGATGCGAGGCTCATGCATCGCATCATTGAGGGCTCAAAACGGAACGATGTCGAGAGGTCTGTGTATGCAGTCATGTTGAAGTGACTGATACTAAGCGAAACCTCAGCGAAAAGCCTAAAGGCCTACGGTTAGGCTATATGGGACATCTCACGCTCATCTCCGAGGACGTCATAGGCGCGCTCGAACACCTCCCTCCCGATCTTCGTTTGCAGATTGGACAGTACGCTCCTCAACCCGAGTGGGACGAGTACGTGACGGGACGCTACAAGGAGACCAAGAAAAAAGATTCGAGTCTTCTTGGCGGTGGCAAGCCGGTCGTCGCGCCGTCGATGCGGAATGGCGCCGCGCAGTGGAAGGTGGACGAAGCAGACACCGTGGCGACCCCGGCGCCCCCGCGTTCTGTGGAGGCCGGTTCGGAGATAAAGAGCGAGTTCCGTAGATCTTCGAGTCGAAGAGAGGGAAGTGCCGATTTCGGTTCCATGCCCATGATGGATGAAGACGAGGAATTCAATTCTGCTCCTTCACGGGTACGTGAATCTACAAGTGAATCTGCCAATCACGCTGATTGACCCCTAGTTTGCCAACTACTTGGTCCATGAGATACAGTCGTCCGATCACCTGGGTTCCTCTGACGAGGCATCAGACGACGAAGAGGAGGGTGGATGGCTTGCGCAGTCAACCTTCGAACTGCGACCTCCTCCAGTCACTGCGCGCCAACACGACAATGATCGCAGACCACTGAGCGCAAGTGCATTTGATGTGGGTTTCTACTGCGGAATCCCGGAGACACTTGTTTACGCTTCGTGCAATAGGATGCATTTGATCCATCCTCTTCTTCCGGCTCACACTCCACGATGTTGCAGGATCCGTTCGAGGACGTGAGTGTATCCACCCTCCGACGGTTTTTGTCTGACACAGGGGATGCGCAGGACACATTCGGACCTTTCTCAGACTCTGCTGCCGCCGGTGGATCAGATCCATTCACGTTCGCGACTGCGTCCGTCGACGAGTTCATGGCAGACAGCTCCTTCGACTCCTTCGGCGAGTTCGGCGACTTCCAGAGCGCCAGCTCTGGGTCGGTAGACGAGGAGGGATCTCTCACCCCTACCGGAGCTGACAGCTGGAGCTTCGCTAGCGCGTCTAGCACGGGCTCTTTCGACGAGGGCGAGCGCAGGTCTACGGAAGCAAGTCGGGACCCGGACGAACGGACTGCTCGCGACAATAACTAGATGGTGTATGTCTCAACCCCGAGTACTGTACGCTGACCGAGATACCTGGGCCGCCGTCGCTATCGTGTAGTAGATCCCCTCTGTGTTGTCACGCCCCGATTCGTCATCAGTAGTGTACGCTGGTTTGATATTTAGACATATCCAAGGTGTTGTGTAACACGGTCGGACTTCACTCCGGCTTGTACTGATATCCACCCTTGCGCTGGACGGCGTTGAAGTTGAGGGTGGCGAGTTGCTTCCCGGTGCTGTCTGTCAGTGTGCACTCGACCTTGTCGCCTGGTACAACTGGCCCAACGCCCGATGGTGTGCCTGTGAGGATAAGATCTCCTTCCTGAGTGCGCCAGTACGCGTGTTAGTTTAGAACCTCCTCGGCTACGGTACGAGAAATGCAGCTGACCTCGAGCGTCATGATCGTCGAGATATGTTGGATCAGGCGCGGAATGGAGAAGAGCATGTCCTTGGTGTTGCCATCCTGCTTCACCGTGCCGTTCACCTGCGGTGCGGCTTTGGTCAGCACTCCCGCCAAGGGGCTCGGACGTTTAGAGGTGCACTCGCCTTCAGCACAAGGCCAAGGGCAGCCGCGTCCGCGACCAATTCCCTGGGGATGTAAGAGCTGTCCAGTCCAAGAAGGCTTTCATGAATTTGAGTCCGCGCGAGAACAGACACGGCCGCTTTACCTGATGGGTGTGAACGTGTCGAAGCCCTTGGCAACCGTCCATGGCAGCCTCTTGGCTTTGATCTCCTCTTGCAGGTTGCGGGCCGTCATGTCTACTGCGAGCGCTGTGGGCGTTGCATGAAGGTCAGCACCTGGGCGGTTCGGAGGCACGATGCGGATGCTTGTTACCGTAGCCCGCAACGTAGCTCTCGGCCTCGGCCTCGGGAATGTCGCGCCCGCGCTTGCTGACGACTACGCCAAGTTCCACTAGGAGGTTATCTTCAGCATACATGTTAGTTCACATTCGTCACGGGCGGGACCTTCGTAATGGGCGAGCACGCCTTCGGGGATCTCGACATTGCCGCCCGAAGGAACGTAGCTCGTGGTGGGCTTCAGGAAGAGGATAGGCTCCTTTGGGACAGCGTTGTTGAGCTCCTTGGCGTGCTCGCTGTAGTTCCGACCGACGGCGACAATCTGAGGCGGTACGTGTGAGCGAGCCTAACATATCTGCTCAGAACCACTGTGCACGTACTTTCTTGCCTTGTTGCACAAAGGAGGCGGCAGCCATACGTGCCGACGTTTGACTGAAGCCACGTCGGAAAACGGTGGATGCAGCGAGACCTGAGACCTTCGCGCTGGCACTGCGCGCAGCTACTGAGAACATTCTGCTCGCGGACCTTGTTGTGGTCTAAGCAGATAAGTTTGGGTTAACGGTGTATTTGTCCTGACCGCGGGTGACTCGTCGAACTTGAGGAAGTTGGAGTGACCGTGTGGGCAGGTGGGAGACTTAACGGATGAGATACTCCAGCACATATGTATTAACGAGGGCGCATGGTGTAGTTGGTTATCACATCCGCTTAGCAGCAAATGTTGTACTTGCGGGGGGTGCTGGGTTCAATTCCCAGTGTGTCCATTTTTGGATCTTGCGCTTGGTCAGGAGAAGTGCACTAAATGGCCATGTGAACCAGTATCTGGTTAATGTGTTATGATTTTGTTCCTTTTAATAGAGCCTAGAAGTTCCAAAGAGATGGCTAACTCATCTGGGAGAACATATCAGAGCCGACGTCGGACTATAAGGAAAGCCCTGGAAAGCCATCCGTCTGAGCGCTCTCTGGCCAATGGGCAAGGCTATCTGGATGAGTCAGCATTCCGTAGCCATCTTTTTGCCCATCTCATGTCTATCTATGGCAATATAAGATGGCATTTCAGAGTCTATTTGCGACTTCTTGTTATTTTATTATTTCATTGTCTGACGTTTCCACGGGGGTCTCCTGCATCCCAGTCCTCTTCGGAACCTGTTAGCTCTACTTAATGCTCAATCACTTTTGACAGCTTCCCGGTCGGAGCTCTTTGTAAACGAGACGATGGTGGCTTCCATGTGCGTACGCTTCGGACTAGCTACCATCTGGCGGCTTGCGATGTCGGAATATCGGTCACATCACTGTCATGGCACGCTGGGCAAGATGACTTTGGAGCTGCCCAGAGACTTAGTCGATTCGTGGCTCGCTACTGTGTCCTAGATATTGAGGATCCCTCTCTTGAACTAGCGTTTCGCCATACAGTATACTAACAATCTGGGTTCGCGTTGAACGACTCCGCCCGCTAATAGGCGCGGAGGCGGATCAAACCCTCTGCTGGAGCCTGGCAGCAACAGGCAGCAACCTGGCAAAGATGTTATCGCGTACCCTTCACTAATCCCCGACATTGATACAAGACCCTCACTCGTTTAGGGTCTTGAAATGAGACTTATAGTGGAGGAGTGTCTCCGTGCCGAAGCGTCCGTGCCGAAATAGGGACACCCGGCAAGATCGCTTCCTCGGCGGTGAGGTATGCAGATCTCTTGGCCTGCCAAGTCGTCCTTCTCTAAGGCCCTTGGCGGGCATGGGAACTGCCCGCACCGTCTCCGTTTTATAGCTCCTCGCCGCCAAGTGTCTTCACGATGCTTGACCAGCCTTACATATAACTCGCAACATTCACCGTCCATCGGCCATTTCGCCCGCTTCAGCTTGTTCTCGCTCTGTCAACCCACTCGCCTCCTCGTCTCTCCCTGGTGAAGCATTCCAATCTCTCTGGTCCTGCGGAAATGGAGCGCATGTTGCCGTCCATCGTCACTCTCCTCGCGTTATCCCTTTGCACAAGCGCGAGGCCACTATTCGTCCGGTCGGAGTGAGTACTGCACATCAGTACTGCTTAACATCGGGTTCCAACTGTACCATGCGCAGGAACCTTGCAGCAGATGATGAAGAGGAAGGTGGCCCGGATGGTCATCTCAATTCGCCATGGGTAGTTGCGGTCGCAGTAGCTTCGGGTAGGTCTCATACCATTCTTCTTCATGACTTTGCATCACCCCCATCCTCTCAGTCGGAGTGCTCGCCACAGTCGCGGCAATTATCATCTTCATCAAATGGCGACAGCGCCGCAAGGCCCGCCAGACCTACGCACGGACGGTGGATGAACTAGCGGGCAGCGGACTGCCTGGACAGCCATATGCCTGGAAGGGTCCATATGCCTCACGCTCATCGTATAATCGGTCACCTTCGCCGGTGAGTCTCTATATAACCGTGCGCTTTGGTGCGGCATGTTCATCCCATGTTATCTTAGCCCGTTGCAGCCCATCTCTCCGAGAAATCGAGATGGGCGTCCCCGCAACGGTGAACCTCATGGATTTGTGTCTAGTCTTTCTTGCACGTCGTTCACGTGTGTCCGGCGAGATTATGGTGAGCGTCTTCAAGATCTGGCCCGCCTGAAATCCGCTCACGGTATCGCCTAGCAATCTCCCGCACACGGTCGCGAATCGGCCGCCGTCTTGTCACCGAGACGTCCGCGGCCAGATATTGGCTCCCACCCTCTCTCACCGCTGCAGGCTCGCTCCACTGCGAATCCTCTCCGCCGCTGTCTGATTGCCTCCGCCAAGGATGTCTGTCCTGCTATCCTGGGACGCGCGCACCGCTCGCCGCGCGCGCTCGATATGACCGCACAACAAGCACCAACACCTATTACCATGCTGTAAGACGTTATTGTAATTGTATTACTCCACGCCCTGTCCCCGCCCTTAGGACTGTTTCTCTCAGCTGGTTCCAACCACCCAAGAGACTTTGATGTCTCCGCGTGTAGCTGGGATTACCTAAGTATGTAGTATGTTGTTTTCTTGGTGCGGGCCTGCGCGGGCTTGGCCAGTGCCACGACGCAACCGCGACGCGAGACATTCCCGTTGGCGGCCAGGCTAGCCAAGTTTAGCCATCTGACACATTTGTTTTGCTGTTTTACGAAGACAATGACTGATTCGTCTTGACTGGGAGAAGCGCTCACTGGCAACTGGTATAGTATACATTGGATTCGGCCCAAGCGATCTCATAATAATTGAAAACATGCAGAACTTTGGCACAGGTTGGCACCGTCTCGTACGAGCGACTAGTACTACTCGAGTAAGTACTTGGTAGAGCTGGGCTGTTGCAGTACCGATGATTGTACGGGCGGAATAATGCCGGCGAAGCGGATTCTCACTCTCGACTGAATCGTAGAACTTTCCGGTAAATTCTAGAGTATGGCGAAAGATCCTGATTATATAGTCCTGCTGCCTGGTCGTTGAACTTGTGAGGGCGATGATCATATGGGCCAAGTCCAGGAACTCGAGTTAACCCTAGACCTAACCCCGAAATAGGTTTTTTACAAAGGGGCGATCAGGTGATCATATAAGGAATAAGAATGACTCGGTGCGTGTTTATAGACTTGGCTTTTGACTTGCCGGGTCCCCAGTTTTCCTTGGACTGTTCCTCGCTCTACGCTCTTGCCATCGTCGTCGCCGTTCCCGCCGCCGTCGCAGCCAGCATGCCTCTTCCAGCGTCCAGGATGCGTGTGTCGTCTGCTTCGAAGATGACTATCCCTGCGCAGTTCGTCCGGGCTCGCTCGACTGTAGCAACTTCGAGCGCATCCATGCTCGAGGCGAAGTCAAGGGTGAAGGAGCATGCCAGGAACATCAGCAGGTCCAGTGCCCGCGAGGCGACCGCTAGCAACTCCGTGTAAGTACATCTCCCTCTATTACCTGATCATCTCTGTAACACGCATGTATGCAGGCGGCCTACACCAGCCCCGGGGTACCAGCAGCTGCCCTCGAGAAACAACGTTCCTTACCCCTCACCCTCCCTTCCTCCCCATACGGAGGGCCCTCTCGACCACTCTTTCGTTGGGATGTCCGGTGGTCAGATCTTCCACGAGATGATGGTCCGGCATGGTGTCAAGCACATCTTCGGATACCCCGGCGGTGCCATCCTCCCCGTATTCGACGCGATCTACAACTCGCCCCAGTTTGATTTCATCCTCCCAAGGCATGAGCAAGGAGCTGGACACATGGCGGAGGGCTACGCTCGTGTTACAGGCAAGCCCGGTGTCGTTCTCGTAACGTCCGGCCCAGGGGCGACGAATGTCATCACCCCCATGCAGGATGCTCTCAGCGACGGCGTCCCCCTCGTCGTATTCACTGGTCAGGTGGCGACGTCTGCTATCGGCTCGGACGCTTTCCAAGAGGCCGATATCGTCGGTATCTCAAGGGCATGCACCAAGTGGAACGTCATGGTCAAGGACATCTCTGAACTTCCACGTCGTATCAACGAAGCTTTCAAGATTGCCACTTCGGGACGGCCGGGGCCGGTCTTGGTAGACCTTCCGAAGGATATCACCGCCGGTGTCCTCAAGACTCCACTGCCATACAAGGCCACTACTCCCGGGAGGCCTCTCGGGCTTCCTTCCAACCCTCTCCTGCCCTCGACCCAGTCCATCGATACTGCCATGATCCAGCAGGCTGCTGACCTCATCAACCAGGCGAAGCGGCCGATCATTTACGCCGGCAATGGCATCCTCTCCTCTCCCCACGGACCGAAACTCCTGAAGCAGATCGCTGACCAAGGCAACATCCCTGTGACGACGACTCTCCAGGGTCTAGGAGCGTTTGACGAGATGGACGAGAAGAGCTTGCACATGCTGGGCATGCATGGTTCGGCGTACGCCAACCTTGCAATGCAGCAGGCAGACGTCATCATTGCCCTCGGTGCACGTTTCGATGATCGTGTAACTGGCAAGCTCGACATGTTCGCGCCTGCCGCTCGTGCGGCTGCTCTCCAGGGCCGCGGTGGTATCATCCACTTCGAGATTCAGCCGAAGAATATCAACAAAGTTGTCGATGCGTCGATTCCGGTCCTCGGAGACGTCGTGGCGAACTTGGCTGTTCTTGCGCCGCTCATTCGCTCCTCGCCGAGAACGGGGTGGTTCAACGACATCCGAGAGTGGAAGTCAAAGTATCCGTTCACTTACGAGAAGAGCAAGCCGGACGCGTTGATAAAGCCCCAGGAAGTCGTCGAGGAGCTTGACAGACAGACTGCGCACAGGAAGGAAGACGTCATCGTTACCACGGGTGTCGGTCAGCACCAGATGTGGGCAGCGCAGTATTACCGTTGGCGACACCCGCGTACGATGGTCACCTCTGGCGGGCTTGGTGTAAGTGAACATTACAACGTTTGTTTCATGCCATCTCGCTGATAGCACATACGCACAGACAATGGGCTTCGGTCTGCCGTCGGCCATCGGTGCCAAAGTCGGCGCTCCACATAAGACGGTCGTTGACATCGACGGCGATGCGTCGTTCAGCATGACTGCCATGGAGCTCCAGACCGCGTCTCAATTCAACATTGGCGTCAAGGTGCTCATTTTGAACAACGAATTCCAGGGAATGGTTCTTCAATGGCAAGGTAAGCGCACAGTGGGCGCCCTCGCGAAGCATGTGTCTTACGCACATATCGATAGATCTGTTCTACGACGCCCGCTACGCTCACACGCGCATGGTGAACCCCGACTTCATCGCACTGGCCAAGGCGATGCGCATCCACGCCATCCGGTGCGAACGCGCTGAGGACCTGCCCG